GAAACCTAGTAATTTCCATCGAAGTTTACACTTGTGCTTAATAGATCGTGAGTGTAGATATGGGCTCGGGTCGCGGAGAATGTTCATAAGCGGTTTGTGGTCGGATAGCAGAATCATAGGTCGGTAGGAGCGGTGAGCAAGGTAGGCCACTTTATGGACAATGATCCGGCAACCCAGCATCTCACGACTGGTGGCGTCATAGTTCTCCTGGGCCTCGATAAGCTTGGCCGAGAGGAATACAGATGGGTAGAGATACTTGTACGTGCCGATGGTGACGCCGGGGTCACGTGGTGGAAGTGGTATTTCATACATATTTGGTAGTAGTTCTTCCGGCCGTACTTTATCCTTGGTAGGCTTGGTGAGTTGGAGACCGTACGGAAATATGGGTTCGTCGGCTGCAGTGTCTGGGTCCTGAGCCTGTGTCTGCTGGCTGTCCAACTGAGGTTTGGTAGCCGAAGCAACAGTCTGGTGCATGAGCAACATGGGTCGTTCCTCAGCAGCCTCCATCTGTTGTAAGAACAATGGAGGGTCTGAAGGTGAAGCTGCACATCGAGGTGTACTGCCCGTACGAATATCGCCCAATAATGGTAGGGTAGCAGCTACAGTCATGCGAGGTTCGAGAGCTCGCGGCTGTGCTAAACACACCGGGAGGTCGGAGCTGTGTTCATGTGTAGTCATAGCTGTAACAATAGCATCTTGTGCCGCTAGTATCTCAGCAGTCGATGGGCGTGTAGTAGCTGGTGAAGTAGACGGATGTGCTTGGGGCATCGGAGGCTCGAGTCGGGGGAACTCTTCGAATGTTGATAACAGGACTGGTGTGCCTTTGTCCGTAGGGTTAACGCAGCTGGGGATGAAATACTCATTCGTCTCTCCTGGTAGTAGTACGAGACGTGGCACCTGTGGATGGTTCGTCACTGGTGGAAGGTCGAAACCGGCGCGGTACTCGTTGCACTCCAGTATAACTGCTTGCTCAGCACCCCCTCCGGAGTACCCGGGGGCGGAATCTGTACAAAGACACCCACTGCAATACCCCTATTGTTGGCATCTGGTGTAGCAATCAACTGCTGGTGAGGAAGCGGGTGGGATAGGCGGATTCGGAGAGCCGCTGCCGAGATGAGGTATGTGTGTGCAATCTCATGGGCAATCTCCCATTTAAACACTGCGCCCTTGCGTGTGAGGTCTAATAGGACTGCCGCTTGATTGGCATACCCAGGTATGTAGATAGCCCACCAAGATAACACAGCAAGGAGGCTGATAAACTCTTGTCTATTGGCAGGTGCTGGTCTGTCGAAGAGTGCTTGTGCGCGTTTGAACATGATGGCTGAAGTGTTGTGTATGTTCTCACGTCCGAAGAATATTATGGCGCAGTCCATCAGCACTCCCCACTGACACTTACTTGGTTGTATTGGATATCCTTCTCAATGCAGATGCGGACAATACGAAAGATATCGTTCCGATGGTCGTTCAGCGCTTCCAGGATGGTCTGGGCTGCTTTCTGGAACGTTGCTAGGTTACGGTCGTCTAGGGTTTAGGGTTTGGGAAGGTAGAGTTTATGTAGTGCTGCATATCGTAGTACCCTTTCTCTACCCCTTCCATAAGGCAGCGTGGTTGGTGGAACCGTCCATCCGCCGTGCTGAATGTGAAGTAGCCTCGCGAGTTCGGGTGGAGGAGAAGTTGGTGGTAAGATGCGGCCAGGTCGGCTGCTGATTGTACAATGGCGTTCCTCGAATGTTCCGCCATGTCGGCCTCAATCGCAAACTCTACAACATGTGGGTGTGACTTTCGAATTCTTCTGAACTATCTTGACCGAGCTTACCCATTGGCTGTACTTATCGCCCTCCGCTGCTTTTCCATCAAGGTAACTCTGGTTCATCTTGGCCGTCTCAACGGCTTGCAGAACCGGGTCCCGTGTACGGTAGATCTGTCGCACAGGTTGAGCCCCTTTTTTCGGCCTCAGTTTAACTAACACGTCATTAATTTAGCGTGGGCGGCGAGGGTCATACCGTGCTTCATTAAGGAGATCTTTGAGGGTTTGCAACTCACTCGGGCTCTTATTGAGTATCTTTGTGAGCTTCTCCAGGTGTCGGAAATCGTATTCATCCGGCTCTGCGGACCATAGGCCGGTGGTAAATCCATCCTAGTCAGCTGTTCTGGTGCTTGTGGGATAAGGAACCCAACTGGATACTTAACCTTAGGTAACTCCAACTGGAAATGCGGAGGGGAGGTGGCCTGGTTCCAAGAGATGCCAATGAGGTTGTCTTGGAGGTGGTCGAAGCCAAGCAGTGCCTCACAGTCCCATGGTAGCCAGTCGGAGACAAAGAAGTCAATCGTCTTTGTCTCGTAGAGTGTGGGGGTGCCATTGGGTGCGCGTACATTCAATAGTAGTGTAGCGGAGACCTGTCTATTGAGAGTAGTCTGGCTGTCGCCCCCAAACCCTTGTAAATAAACAGGCGATACTAATTGAACTTGAAAGTTGAGATGCACTACAAGCGCAATGAGTAACATAGCTGGTTTAAAACCAGTATCGACATAGACAGAGAGATCCTCTTGTTCGCATACTGCTTGTACTACTGCCACGGCCTAGAGGTGAGTCGTGTGGTCTACCTCGTGCTGTGATCATCCTGGCAGCATAAGCAGCTGCCTGGTGGGTCCGTACATATCGAAAGCTTGCAAAGCACCCTCTTTAAGCTCACCTATGTAAGCCGCCGTAATGAAGGCGCGGAGGGCAGTGCGGAGTTCCTTCAGGAAGGCATAAAGGTCAGGTAGTGCCTTATGCCATACCTGAATCAAGGTCTCTTGGGCGTCGATTTATGAAGAAGTGAGTGGCATAAGTGCCTGGTTGTAGAACATGCCCTGCTTGTCTGCGTCCCGTTGTATGTCCCGTACGATCGCTTCCCATATGGGTAGTGCAGAAGCTGGGGGCTGGATGCAAGAGGGATTGACTTGGGGTGCATGAGGTGGTAGTTGGCCAAGGCGCGCCTGGCCCACAAACATGCCGAATATAGGGAGGTAGCGACCCTGAAGGATCGTCATGCGTGACCGTGGAAACCAACAGTTACGTGGTGGCGGTAGATGTACTTGGGGATAGTACTCTGCTTGGGGCGCCAGCGTCCAAGTGCTGAGAAGATGAAGCCATCACCGTGCTGAATAAGGCTACCGTCGAGTTGGACTACGTCGCGAGCCGTGCGAAGCTGCCAACCCAGTGGTGGTGCAAACACAAATGGTCCACCTTCAGGCGTAACCGATTGAGGTCGAGCCTGGGTGTCCCGGAGCCAGACCTCGATTAGTGAGAGATCAGGATACGCATCGTCATTAAGTGCTGCTTTTTCGTCCAGGGCTCGCTGTATAATCTTTGCATTGTATTCATGCCAGAAGGAGCGCACTCTGCGTGTATCAGTGGAGAAGTGCTGAGGCTTGAGCGTCGTCGTCTCGAAGGACGGGTACTGCGGGCTCGGATCGTCCTCCATGCGTGTGTGGCGGTGGTCCTGGGTGGTATCCCGAGGCAGGGAGTGACGGCGTGAGATCTCTTACTGAACTCATGGACGGCTGCGCGAACGATCACCGTTGCGTGAGCGGTTCCGACGAGGTGATCGGTTACGGCGGGGTGATTGGTTACGGCGAGGAGGTACACGGTCGCGTGTGTGAGGAGAACGTGGGCGCTTGGCACCCATCTGGTACTGCGTACGGTCATCCGGAGTAGTAGCCCGTGGGGCAAAGAAGTAGCTGAGATCAGCATCATGAGTTGCAATCGGGGCCGGGGTGCTAATCTGGGGAGCCATTGCTGGAGCATAAGAGGTCTCAACCCCAATCCCAGCCTCGGCCGGCTTAAGCATGCCGATACCCGTGTCATTGATGGCCGATGTTGCTGGTGCTGTAATAGCCGGGCCTCCACATTAGACCATGCTCTATAAACGTACTCTTAAGCAGTACATAAATTATAAACGTACTCTTAATAGTACGTGAACCAAATGGGTTTTAACGGTTCTATTTAAAAGTACCTTTTCCATTTTACATATCAGATGCTTGGATGAAGGCCATTAAAAGACCCGATTAATATGCCAAAGATAGGATTTAGAAAAGTTTTATTAATGGAACTATATTTTATTTCAAATCTATTTATATCTGAATACTTCGGTAGCGAGATGGCTCAACTGAAAATATGTTTCTAGGGACTATTAATGTTATCTAGTTGATCCTCCGTTCAGCCAACCAGATGTGCCAGTCTGACGATGGCAAGTGGATAATTCTTGATAAGTGGAAATTTATTGGTTAAGATAATAACAAAAGACATCAAGAGTATTTTCATTTTCTTTTTACTATTTTTTTTCTAAAGATAGGATTTTAAGAGTCTTTCGAATTCGATCGAACAACGAAAAGATAAATAGTACTGAGAGGATTATTTATAAGCAATGTCTCAGCCTCACAATCCCTCAGAGTATTGCNGTTTTCA